GCACTTATTCCCACGTTGCCCCAGGGATGGTTTTCACTCTCCAGGGCAACACCCCTTGGTGGGACAAGAATGGCTGAGGGTCTGCCTTCCGTTCAGAGTGAAAGATCATCATACAGGACCCCCTTAAGCCAGGTGTGCTCTGCAGCAGCTTAATTTTAGGAGGTGTAATAGAGGATGACTTAAAATAATTCCCTTAAACTATCCTTGTGTGGGTACCCCAGGAAGTCTTCATACCCCCAGGGTCATGTGAACCCAGAGCACTGTTGTGAAGAGTAGGACTGCATTTACTCAGCATCGCAGCCTAACTGCATGGCCTGGAGGAGGTGAGTAGAGGGAAGACCCTGCATTAACAGCATCTCATCTAGACAGCACTGAGAAGAGACGAGCTGGTGAGAGGGAGGAGGCTCTGCCTCTGAGTAAACAAACCAACCTGGCAAGGGTTCAGGGTAATGTGCTTAGAAGGCATAATCCTAACTCTGAGAATACAGCGAAAGGTTCTGCACTGTCAATTAACATCCAAGAATAGGACAGCCTAGACTTCTTGCCTGCATCTGCCCCCACAGCCTGGCACCAAACAGCTGACTGGCCCAGTGGGGGACACCTCACCCAAATGGGACAATAACATTCTCTCTCTCCTGGAATTTAGGGCATGTTGCCAGCAGCTGGACAACCATTTCCTTCCAAATCCAGTGAGAAATAGAGAAAGCTGGTCTGCAGAAACAGAATTAAACAGCTGCATAATCAAGAGAGTGACAGAAAGGACAGCTGCCTTGGACCCAAAGGCAGTCCTTGTGAGGCCCAGCTTCACTCAGGTTCTGAAAAATCTCCCTTTCTGTATCAGCTGGATTTAATGAACTTCTGGAACTTGCAATCAGAAGAGGTTTGGCTCAGACAGGAGTCACTAGAGACTATCCCTGAGGAAGTCAGCCCAATAGACCAATACATTCAGCATTATCAGTGAGTACTCTGGGCCAGGCAAGTGGCTCACATCTGTAATCCCAACACTTTGGGAGGCTAGGGCAGGAGGACTGCTTGAGGCCAGGAGTTCAAGACCAGCCTGGGCAACACAGCAACAAGACCTCGTCTCTACCAAAAGCATGTTGCAGCAGCGCCTACAGACCCACTACGTAGGAGGGTGAGGTGGATCACTTGAGCCCAGGGAGTCAAGACTACAGTGAGCCAATACCGAGCCACTGCACTCCAGTCTGGGTGACAGAGTGAGACCCTGTCTCAAAAAAAGAAAAATGAAATTACCTTTTTATTATAATGAGTGATGCTGAGTATCTTTTTTTTAAAAATGTTTTATTCTTTTTAAAGGTAAGTTGTATTTCCTTTTTTTATGAGCTATCTATTCATGTACTTTGCCCATTTATCTCTAGAATACCTTTTTTTTTTAAATTCTTTAGAGACTGGTTCTTGCCCTGTCACCCAGGCTGAAATGCAGGGGCACAATCTCAGCTCACTGCAGCCTTGACCTCCTCGGCTCAGGCGATTCTCCTGCCTCAGCCCTTTTTGTATTTTTGTAGAGACGCTTCATCGTGTTGCCCAGGCTGGTCTTGAACTCCTGAGCTGAAGTGGTCTGCCGCCCCAGCCTCCCAGCATGCTGGGATTATAGGTGTGAGTCATGGCGCCCCGCCTAGTGAGGCAATTTAAACCACAAAGAAATGTTATCACTTAGAGGATTGGCAAAGATCACAAAGTTTGGTAATATTTTATGTAGACAAAGGTGAAGAGAAACAGGCACTCTCAACGCTGCTAGATAGGAATGTCAACCAGCACCAAATTTTTTTAGTAATTAGCACTACTGAAATTGGAAAACGCACATCCCCCTCACCCACTAAATCTCACGTCTAGAAATGGTCCTAGAAATATAGCCAACATTGTGTTAAATGACAGCTCAAGATGATGCATTCAAGTCAGATTTATAAAAGCAAAAAATGTGAAACTGAATACCCTTCAAAAAGAGACTAAACTATGGTACATTCATAAAATAAAATCCAATGTAGAAAAATGAAACAGAACAATCTCTAAGCTACAAGTGAGATTTGGAAGGTATACGAACTACCATTGAGGCAAAAATAAAACAGGCGAAGAAAATGCGTCGCCGGGCATGGCAGCTCACACCTGTCATCCCAACACTTTGGGACGCCAAGGCAGGTGGACCACCTGAGGTCAGGAGTTCAAGACCAGCCTGACCAACCCAGAGAAACCCCGTCTCTACTAAAAATACAAAATTAGCCGGTTGTGGTGGCGCATGCCAGTAATCCCAGCTACTCGGGAGGCTGAGGCAGAAGAATTGCTTGAACCCAGGAAGCAGAAGTTGTGTTGAGCTGAGATGATGCCATTACACTCCAGCCTGGCAACAAGAGCAAAACTCCATCTCAAAAAAAAGAAAGAAAAAGCGTGTATATAAATTCATAGAATATACCTGATAATAAACAGAGGAAACTGAGGTAAGGAAAACACAAGGTCAGCGTGGAAGCCATCTTGTCTGTCACAAAGTAGGGAGGTGATCAAAGACTAATAGGAGATGCTCATAGAACACAGAAGCCACATTTCAGCATCGAAATGAATAATGGCAGAGGTGCTTATTATACATCAAATTAGGAAATTCAGTCATATTTCTTTAAAGGCTCATCTTCAAAGAAGAAATATCAAAAATGTAGAAGGAATGACAACAGAAAAAATCACTTTACAACCACCTTAGTAATAATTCAGTCAAGAATGACCAGCGAACAGAGAATGCAAACTGCTGAGGAGACGATATTCCCAGTCTCAAATATCACCCCTCAGGCTACTTATTAATTGCAAAGGGGAAAGGGTATCAACTTGACAAGGGAGAAATCTGGCAGACACAACTTCAAATCACCAATAATGGGACAAGCTGGTATCAAGTACCACTTGACATAATGAGGACACCGTATCACCTATAAAGAACTCCTGACAAAAATGTTTAACCTGAAGCCACAATGAGACAATCCGACAAATCCAAGTTGAGGAATGTCCTACAAAACAACTGACCTGGACTCTTCATATAGGTCACTATTAGGAAGGGCACTGGGGACTGACTATTCTGGATAAAAAGAGACTGAAGAGTCACAACATGCCAGGCGCGGTGGCCCACGCCTGTAATCCCAGCACTTTGGGAGGCTGAGGCGGGAGGATCACAAGGTCAGAATATCGAGACCATCCTGGCCAACATGGTGAAACCCCATCTCTACTAAAAATACAAACAATCAGCGGGACATGGTGGTGTGCACCTGTAGTCCTAGTTACTTGGGAGGCTGACTCAAGAGAATTGCTTGAACGCGGGAGGCAGAGATTGCAGTGAGCCGAGGTCATGCCACTGCTCTCCAGCCTGGAGACAGAGTGAGACTCCATCTCAAACAAACAAAAAAAGTCACAATAACTAAATGCAATGTATGATCCTTGGCTGGATCCTGGACCCAAAACAAAAACAAAAATGAACTGCATCTGCTGGTGAGAATGTTAAATGGTACAACTGAGTTGGAAACAGTCTGGCAGTTCCTCAAAATGTTAAACAGAGTTATCATATGATGCAGGAATTCCACTCCTAGGTAGATACCCAGGAGAAATGAAAACGTATGTCCACGTAAAAATTTGTTCACTATTGCTCACAGCAGCATTATTCATAACATCCCCAAAGTGGAAAGAACTCAAATGTCCATCCATAGATGAGTAGATAAACAAAATGCAGTATATCCATTCAACTGAATACTATTCAGCCATAAAAAAGAATAAAGTATCAATTCATGCCACAACATGGATAAGCCTTAAAAACATGACACTGAGAGAAGCCAGTCACATACATCACACATCATATGATTATATTTATATGAAATATCCAGGAAACACAAATCCATAGAGACTGAAAATAGATGAGTGCTTGCTTTGGGCTGGGAGGTGGGAGTTGGGGAGGGAAGGCAAGTGATTGCTAATCGGTACAGGGTTTCTTTTTAGGGTGATAGAAGTGTTCTAAAATTGATTCTCGTGGTGGCTATAAAACTCCAAATACAGTAAAAACCAATGAATTGTATACTTTAGGTGAACTGTACAGTATGTAAATTATATTCCAATAAAGCTGTTATTTTTTTTAAAACACAACTATAAAGAACTCATTATTAGAACAACTGGGGAAATTTGAGAGTAAACTATATATTAGATGATAGTATTGTGATAAATGTTAACTTTAATCAGTCTGACAACTGGATTCTGGTTATAAAGGAACACATGTCCTTAGGAGATACTTGCTAAAGTATTTATGGCTGATTTATAATTCCATAACAATCTTAAGTGATTCAACAAAAACCAGATCTATGTGTGTGTGCACGTATGCATTGTGTGTGCCTGTGTGAGAGAACAAGAAAAAGCAAAGGTGCGAATATATTGGTAACTGGTGATCTAAGTGAAGGATATACAGGTATATATTGTACTATGCTTAGTCTTTCTGTAGTCTGAAAATTTTCAAAATAAAAACTTGGGGGAAATACCAGGGAATAAAATTTAGATTTGCAGATAGATATACACACACACACACACACACACACACATATATATATCACTGCATAGCTACTACTGAGTATTTTCAAATCACCATATTTTATCCTGAGCAAGAGGTCACTGTTCTGTGCTATGGTAAGATACAAACCATTCCTTTATATATAATAAAACTCCACCTTTTTTCAAAATTAATATAGGGTAAGTGAAGTCTACCAATCATGACAGCAAAGGAAATTAGTGTCTAAATGAACTGTGAGTTACAGGCACATTTCACTAAGGGGCAGGCAGGTTTTTATAAAAAACCATACGGTAATCATCAATATGCCATTAAGACTCCTATTATGAGACTTTTAGGAATCATTTTGTAAAGATTATCTGGTGCCTAATTAACAAGAAAGAAATTAGACTCAGGTTTAAGATGCTGCTGGTGTTCTGAAATTACTCTGAAAGGTCATTTGAAGAACTTCAAACTTAAAATGTTTCATTCATGTATTTATTCCACAGTCAAAATAAATCATAATTTAAAGCTATAACATTTTTAAAAGATAAAGGAGAATTTGTGGCACAGCTGCATTAACAAAACAGACACCAGTCTAAAGTGCAACACTAAACAGGTGTTCTCTGTTCCCATGGTGGAATAAATACACACAGTTACACGTAAGATTTCACTGACGATAGGAGATGAGGCAAATAACCCTTTGAAATTAACTGTCCAACGAATAGAGGCAGGCTACATTAATTTAACATTTTACTGCAAAATGGAAAAAATCCCCGAGGCGACTAACTCAAACCCCTCATTTCATGCACATGACCTTGGCTTCTGTGTTCTTTCCACAGCCACATCCAAATCCAGAAAGTCTTCTGCACCCCGTGCTCAAAAATGCCACCTCAAGTCCCTGAGGTCCTCAGCACAGACTGACGTTAACAAGCCTGTGTGCAGCCTTCATCTAGAACCTCCAGGGAAATCAGGAGCACACAGAGCAAAGCACCATTTCTTTAAACAATGGCTTTAACTGTCGAATGAGCTCTGACAAGTCATATGCATTTCATAAACAAACCAAAACATCATCTTCATATCTTCCTATTTTTCTTGCAAAAATATTAAGCCATCCAAGTAAAAAAAAAATTTTAATTTAACAATGAAAAAGGAAATTCAAAGGGTTTATGCCAAAAAACAAACCAGTCCTCTGCAGCCTAACTCATTTGTTTTTAGGCTGCGAAGCCATGTAGAGGGCAATCAGGCAGTAGATGGTCCCTCCCAGAGTCAGCGCCATGGTGGTCCGGTAAAGCATTTGGTCAGGCAGGCCTCGTTTCAGGTAGATGGGCACACCATCAGCTTTCTTGAAAGCAAGAATTAACAAGGGCATGGTTGAGAAGAAAAATATTTTACAATTTTATTCTTTAAATTAAAAAAAAAAAAATTTGTCTACTCTGTAAGTAATTCATCAAAATGTGACAGTGGGAAAAGCCCTAATCCATGGAACGCTAGTAGATGTTCCTATAAATGTAGCTAAAGCTTGTAAATCCAAAGTCATTCTCCAAAATGCTGCCTCAGGGAACATGCATGCAAAAGATTCCAAATGTCTAAGACATTTATCATATATTGCTTAACTGGAGCATTGGTGCATTTTTTAAAAGGCAAAGGTAACCAGTAGTTAAAAGAAGTGCAGGCAGGAGAGGCTGGGCACAGTGGCTCACACCTGTAATCCCAGCACTTTGGGAGGCCGAGGCAGGCAGATGGCTTGAGCCCAGGAGTTCAAGACCAGCCTGGGCAACACGGCAAAACCCTGTCTCTACAGAATAACTAAAATTAGTCAGGTGTGGTGGTGTGTGCCTGTAGTCTCAGCTATTAGGGAAGCTGAGGTAGGAGGATCACTTGAGCCCAAGAGGTCAAGGATGCAGTGGGCCGTGAGTGGGCCGTGAGTGTGCCACTACACTCCAGCCTGGGTGACAGAGTAAGGCTCTGTGTTAAAACAGATAAAAAGAGGTGCTGGCACGAGAAACGTTCTCCATTTAGTTTGGATTCTGATTATAAGTGGATGGGATTGGAGTACTTCATGTCAATAATAAAAAGGTTCAAGTCCATTTGGGATTCGACTGCCCTCTTTCCGTCACACTGTTAAACACATTTAATAATCAAATTCCATGAGATATTTAAATCATCATCATCATCATCATCTTAGAGACTGGGTCTCACTCTGTTACCCGGGCTGGAATGCAGTGGCTCAATCATAGCTCACTGCAGCCTCAAAATCCTGGGCTAAAATGATCCTCCCGCCTCGGCCTCTGGAGTAGCTGGGGTTACAGATGCGTGCCAACACACACAGCTAACTTTTCTTGTAGAGACAGGGTCTCGTTATGCTGCCCAGGCTGATCAAGCAATCCTCCTACCCTGGCCTCCCAAAGTGTTGGGGCTGCAGAAGTGAGCCACCGCACCTGGCCTGTTTAACTCATATTTTGCAGTGTCCAAAATCCCTCCCCACTGCACCTTGAGATTCTAAATGCTCTCTCAAACCTTACTGATCAGATAAAAAGAGATTAAACTGATCAAAACAAAAGTGCTCTATCCTCAAGATGGGTCTGGACCTGGACTACTTCTGAGGAGGAGAAGCTACCTTACAGCAACAGCAGTAGCAAGCACTGCCATGGCACCAAAGAATTGGTCAGGTCACTAACTTCTCAATCATTTGCAGGTAGTTTCACTCTAATAATATTTTCAATTCCAATGCTGGCTTCTCTGTTGATACGCAAACCCATAAGCACCTCCTCTACTTTCAGCAATAGCTCAGTGAATTTTAATATCAAGCAAGCAAAGAACAATTAAAAAAACACTCACTGCCAAGTCACTACATGTGTCACAAAGTCAAATATATATATTGGGTTATTCAGTTATACAGGCTATTCAGTTATAGAGGCTATTCCTTCTTCCATGCAATAAATGATCAAGAGCTATTCATGCCATTTCAAAACCCTCATACCCTTAAATACTAATGAGGAAATTAACCACCCTCCCCTCTTTTATCAGTATCTACCTATATAAAGTTCTATTCGTTTATGGCTCAAACTAAAATCAAGAGAATACTACTTAAAGAAAAAAGAAGGAGGTTGGATAGTACACTAGATTAAGATTTAGTTTCATAAGGGATTTTTTAAGCCTATGTATTTCACAGGCTTCTCTGCTGTAGAGTATCTTCCCTCACCTGGAAAAACTTCTGTAGCTCTGGAACTCTGTTTTTCCCAGCATAGTCATACACTGTGGAATCGGAGGTCAGTTTAGTTGGTGTGGCAAATATGATAGGTGGTGCTTCTGTGGAAACCACAGGCTTTAATCCCTGTAGAGAAAAAAAGGAAAATGGCAAGTTGAAAGTATGTCTGAGGAGACTGTCTGGAATAGTGGAGGCAGCCACTCAACCATGAGACAGAAAGAAAATCTCTCCAGCTTTCCCAGAGCAAACCCTGTCAAGAACCCCTTGCCATTATGATTGCAGGGAGAGGGTGAGGGTCAGGGGGACGACAACGAAGGCACAGTCTGAGCTTCCAGAAATACCTGGTGTGTCTTATCTTCTTAGCAAACCAGTAAAACATCTATAATCTGTTATGAACTTGTCATTAGCTTTTATGGGGAATCTGTCTGCCCCTTTTTTCTTCCAAATGAGCTAATCTAGTAACATGGAATGTCTAACCCCAGAGCGAACTTCAGAAACTTTTCCCAACACACAATAAAGAAATATTCAACGTGGAACAGCCTTACTGGTTTAAAACAAAACTAAACAAACAAACAATACTTGCCTTCAAGGACCAGAACACAAAATCAAAACAAAAAATTTTTTGAAATGAACTTTTCAGCATAAACCCATAACTGAAAACACATATAGCAAAAATTTAAACAAGGTGAAGGGGGAGGAAGTACTGATACATGCTACAACATGGATAAGCCTCTAAAACATTATGCTGGGTCAAAGAAACCAGTCCCAAAGACCACATACTGTATGATGCCATTCATAGGAAAGTCTAGAAGAGGGAACCGTAGAGACAGAAGGTAGGTTAATGGATGCTTCAGGTGGGGGCTTGGGAGCTAGGGAGGTAACAGTTAAAAGGTATATTGGTATCCTTTTGAGGTGATAAAAAACGCTCTAAAATTAACTGTGGTGGTAGTTGCATATATCTGTGAATACACTAAAAACCCCTAAATTGTACCCTTTAAATGGGCATATTGTATGCTATGCAAATTATATCTCAATAAAGCTGCTTTAAAAAAAGGGAGGGAGCTCTGGTTTTTTTATCTTAAAGGAGTAAACCTACAGTGACAAATACATAGAGTAATCCAAAATAACCTGTAAATTAAAATAAGGAGCTAAGAGTTATAAGCCAATAAAAATCATCCTTTTATTTAAATTCTAACTAAGAAAAATAAAAATTTAAAGTCAGAAAGCAGAATTCAAACCCAGCCTTTTCCTTTCACAAAGAAGGAAACCTCTTGCCCAAATACAGTCATCAGTCCACTGATTCTTGTCTCAAAGAAATCTGAATTTACCTATAATTGACAGGGCCTATTATAAAGATTAGATATTGAAAACCTCAATGCTACTCCCACCAGGCAAGCATTAGATGAACAGGTCGATAAAAAAAGCATTAAAGTAAACTTGGCTTCTATTTCTTCTGACACAGTACAATAAATGGGAATGAACCATGGCCTGTTTTCTGTAATGTATTCATTCATTCAACATTTATTACTGATCACTAACTCTGCACTAGAATAATGTATTCATTCATTCAACATTTATTACTGATCACTAACTCTACACTACAATAAATAAGATCGCCACAATCTCAGCCACCACGGATATTAACGTTATAAACCAACAGCAGCTAGTATCTATTTAACCCTTGTGAAGTGTCAGTATTATGTTAAACATTTCATATGCATTACCTCACTTAATTCTGACAGCAACCCTATGAAGATATTACTATTCCCATTTTTCAGAGGAAAACAGTGGAGAGAGAATAACTTGCCTTAGATCAAATAGTGAAAAGCGAGTCAAGTTTTCAAACTCACGCCTTTTTCAAGTCCAGAGCCCTGGCTTTTAAGTATTCCACAACTCACACCCCACCCTCCCCCATCAACTGTTGCTTAAAAACAACAGCCCATTTAAAGAGAAAGTTTGGTCAGTAAGATGTCAGCCTACATTCAGAAATATAACACACTCAAAACAGAGCGTCAGAGGAGTCGGAGAGGCAAACAGAGGCTCTGCGATCAAGATCAAAAGGCTAACAAGGATCGTGGTTTGAACTGGATACAGAATGTCAGATACTCCTTTATATCATTCTGTGAGCTCACCATATTTTCTCCTTGAAATAACCATTTCTTCTTGAACGCAAAAATGTAAAAACCCTTTCTACCAAGGATCTACAAAAATGGTTTGAAAGTAAATTCATGTTTCAACAGGACTAATGTGAGAGTATTTTTGAAGGGATTATATTTGTTTGTCCAACCATGCAGTGATTCAAAACTACAGCAAGGTTTTTGAACAGTATCATCTGAAAACAGGAATATCAACCATCGTAATTTTAAATTAATTCCGTATTTCCCTTTATAATATTGTAAAAATTTATAGAATTGAAGTTACCTATAATCTCATTATCTTATCCCATTAATTGTCATAAATTGTAAATTTGCCTCCAGTGTTTATTCAGGTTTAATAACTTAATAGTCAGTGTAAAGTCCTACATTCTGCTTTTTTTTTTTTTTTTTGAGACGGAGTCTCGCTCTGTTGCCCTGGCTGGAGTGCAGTGGTGCAATCTCGGCTCACAACAACCTCCACCTCTCACGTTCAAGCCATTCTCCTGTCTCAGCCTCCTGAGTAGCTGGGACTACAGGTATGTGCCACCACGCCCAGCTAATTTTTGTATTTTTCATAGAGATGGGGTTTTGCCATGTTGGCCAGGCTGGTCTCGAACTCCTGACCTCAGGTGATCCACCAACCTTGGCCTCCCAAAGTGCTGGGATTACAGGCGTGAGCCACCACACCCGGCCCATTCTGCCTTTCTTCCTTTTTGAGCCAGGCTCTTGCTTTGTCACTCAGGCTAGAGTGCGGTGGCATGATCCTGACTCACTGCAGCCTCCAATTCCCAGGCTCAAGTGATCTTCCTGCCTCAGCCCCCTGAGTATCTGGGACTACAGGAAAATGTCACCACACTTGGCTAAATTTTTAATTTTTTGTAGACAGGGTCTGGCTATGTTGCCCAGGCCGGTCTTGAACTCCTGAGCTCCAGCGATCCTCCCACCTGAGCCTTCAAAGTGCTGGGATTACAGGTGTGAGCCATCAAGCCCAGCCTCATTCTGTTTTTGTTTATAATAATAAGTTTTTCAACTTTCCACAGTCTTTGTAACTATCAAATTCATTTTATTTATTTATTTACTTATTTATTTATTTATTTATTTATTTATTTTTGAGTCAGGGTCTCACTCTGTTGAATTTAATCTTCAGAACAACCCTATAAATAAGTTATGATTAGCCCATGTTACAGCTGATTAAAACAATGCTCAGAGATCCCATAAGGAAGATGGGATTCAAACTCACGTTTTTATTACACCGTACTATCAGTAACTTAGCTGTTCTGGTACCACAGGAAAAGGTAGTGAACATTCCTAATGTTTCAAGGCAGCTGGATCACTAGCACTAGGCTTCTCAAGATTGGAAATGACCAGGACGCTTTATCTACAGGAGAGGATTCAGCGTAAATCTCTTCACCTCTGCCTACTCCAAGACTGCAAGAACTGTCAGTCTCAAACATGTCCCTCCTCATCACAACAACGACAGTGCCAAACTTCCAGGCACTCAGGCCAAAACCTTGGAAATACTCTTTTTATTTTTTTGAGACGAAGTCTCACTCTATCATCCAAGCTAGAGTGCAGTAGCGCATCTTGGCTCAGTGCAACCTCCACCTCCCGGGTTCAAGCGATTCTCCTGCCTCAGCCTCCCATGTAGCTGGGACCACAGGTGTGTACCACCACGCCCGGCTAATTTTTATATTTTTAGTAGAGACAGGGTTTCACCATACTGGTCAGGCTGGTCTTGAACTCCTCACCTCAGGTGATCTGCCCACCTTGGCCTCGCAAAGTGCTGGGATTACAGGCGTGAGCCTCCGCACCTGGCCAAAACCTTGGAAATATTATTGACACCTCTCCCTCATACACTGTAAATGTATGAGGCTCTACCTTCAAAATATATTCAGAATCTGACCACTTCTCACCTACCTCCACCAATTCACACTCGAGTCTAAGCCCCTGGATTTCCACAACAGCCTCCCAATTGGTCTCTCGGCTTCCACTCGTTTGCTGCCATGAAGTCTACTCTTATTACAGCAACCAATGATTTCATTAAAACACAGGATGTCACTAGTCAGCTCAAACCCTCCAAAAGGCCTCCTATCTCACTGAGTGACCCCTAAAGTTCTCACAATGACTTTCTGAGCTCTACAAAGTGCATCCCTTTCTTAGCCCCTCTTATTTTTTATTTTTTGAGACAGGGTCTTGCTCTGTCATTCAGGCTGGAGTGTAGTGGTACAATCACAGCTCACTGTAGCCTCAGCCTCCTGGGCTTAAGGAACCCACCCACTTCAACCTCCTGAGTAGCTGAGATGTCAGGCGTGCACCACCACATCCAGCTAATTTTTTTAAAAATTGTAGGCCGGGCACGGTGGCTCATACCTGTAATCCCAGCACTTTGGGAAGCCAAGGCAGGGGGATCACCTGAGGTTGGGAGTTCAAGACCAGCCTGACCAACATGGAGAAACACTATCTCTACTAAAAATACTAAATTAGCTGGGCTTGGTGGCACATGCCTGTCATCCCAGCTACTCAGGAGGCTGAGCCAGGAGAATTGCTTGAATCCAGGGGGCAGAGGTTGCGGTGAGCCGAGATTGCACCATTGCATTCCAGCCTGGGCAACAAAAGCAAAACTGTATAAAAAAAAAAAAAAATTTTTTTTGTAGACACAGAGTTCCTCTATGTTGGCTAGTCTCAAACTCCTTAGCTCAAGCAGATCCTCCAGCCTCAGCCACCCGAAGAGCTGGGATTACAGGCACGAGCCACTGCACCCCAGCCTAGCCCCACTTCTATCATTCCCCTCCTCCTCCCTAGCCCACCGATCTAGCTCCTGAAACCTCCCAAGCACAGCCATGTTCTCTCTGCCTAGAATGCTCTTCCCCAGGCATCCACGTGGCTTATACCCTCACGTTCTTCAGGTCTTTACCCATCCCCATAAGCCACCTTCTCAGTGAGATCTTTCTGACCAGCCTTTCAAAAACCACATGTCCTCCCCCTTGCCCT